CTTTGTATTATACTCTATAATACTATATATATATATTATACTATTTTACTCTTTTTATGTTATATTATATTGTATTGGTTTACAGTATATTCTATATACATACATATGTATGTCTGGTATCTTTCTACAAAGTGAAGCTCCTCTGTCCAGACATCTGTCCAGACATCTGTCCAGACATCTGGATCCCTCAGGTGTAGCTAGTTCGCCCTCGGGGGCTCAATCGGGGAACTTGGGCCAGTGGTGTGGGAAAGTCCATCAAAATGAAACTTGGACTACAGATGATGACAGAACTGTTCGTGTGTCCTTCATGGTCTATCTCCAAAAAGGGCCGCAGCTCGCTTTCCGTCCGAAGCAGAAACAAGTCAGCTGGAACGACCAGTCAGTTGGTCATCCACTGAGATGGACAAAACCTATCCTCTTGCAACCTCGATGATACGCTTCACCCCTCACTCCTGCAGCAATGCGGAGCCACCCAGCTTCTCTGAGAGCGTCTTCATCGCGCGGCCCTGAATAGGCAAGTGAACTGTTTTTCATACAAAGCATTTGATAATCAGTTGGATGTGTCTATTTTGGAAGGTCTCCCTAGTTCAATACACACCCATGTATGAAAACCATTGTTTTTGTTGATCGTGCAACTTCCCAAATGACGATGACCCGTCCACGCTGGAGCAATACGACCCAATCATGACCCAAAGAAAAGAAGGAGGATCCATGCGAAAGGAAAGGTGACATGTGATGTAGCGAACTGACCGATGAACTGACGGAGTTGTGGCATCAGTAGAAACAAAAGAACAAGCGACCAGCCCAGGAAAAAGGGTGCGCTTTTAATTTGGTAAATGTTTCAGTCTTTTTTCGGAAGTTGTTTCAAAAACATTGGGATAGAGCGGGTGTCTTATTAGTACCTAGCTAATTACGGCAATTTCGAGTCCTTAGCAGAGACATAGGTGTCGTAGCTGGCCCAATACATTAGAATAGTGCAGGTGTCATATTAATTGCTAGCTGACTCGACCAATTTGGGAGCTGTCGTAGCTGGCAAAATACATTGGAATAGTGTAGGTGTCAGAGAAATGTCTACCTATCACAACAGATTGATGCAGTTAGCAGAGAAACAGCAAAGAGAAAAAGAACTAGCACAGGAGGCATACTTGGTTGGTTAGAAGTTTTTGCACCGGGGAGTTCACCTTAAAATATTGATTTCGTGGCAGGCGCGGGTGTCGGAGATGAAGTGCAGATTCCGTGGCGCGTGGGGGGTTGGGGGGGGGGGGCGCAGCGCCCCCCCAGCATTGCTTGCTTGCTTGCGTGCGTGCGTGCTTGCTTGCTTGCTTGCTTCCTTCCTTCCTTCCTTGTTTGGTTTCTTCTCTGCAAAGCAACCAAATGGAAAAGTCAAAACAAAAAGGGAAAGGAGAACAGCTGCCAAAGCAAAGAAGCAACAAAAGCAAAGAGCAGAAAGACAAAACACAAAAAGCAGATAAGCAACAAAAGCAAAGAAGCAGCAGAAGCAGAAAAGCAGCAAAAGCAGACAAGCAACACAAGCAAAAAAGCAGCAGAAGCAGAAAACCAACAAGGGCAGAAAAGCAGCAAAAGCTGGAAAAAAGCATCCTGAAAAAAAAAAAAAGACGCCCCTCCCAGGAAAAATGACCAAAAGACAAAGCTTCACCTTGACCAAGCAACACGAGAAACTGGAAAAGCTTGCATGGTTTCCTCACCTTGACTTTTCTGTTTTGCTCATCCCATGTGAGGCCCTCACAAGCATGGCACCAGCATCTTCCAACTCCTTCCGAGCTGCTTTGTGCTCGGCCTTGACACAGGAAACAAGAAAACGAGGCACATGATCTGGCCAAACCCATCAGTTGGGCGGTCTCCCTATTCAAAACCTATTATATAAGGGAAAGACAAGCTCTGCTCCTCTCCCTCACGTCATCGCCAATGCCAAACACCAATGCCATCACATCAATTCGACCGATTGGTCTTGGAGCACTCTGAGCACTTGAAGTCCACAAGGCCTCAACATTCAACCTGTGGCTTCGAAATCCGGCGCCTGTTCTTTGCTTCGCAAATCAGCTGCTGCCTGGCAGGCGAAACGGAGCGAGGCGAAGGGAGGCATAGTGCCAATGTGTCTGTCGGTGTCTGTGACCAGAAAGACTTCTTCGTGGTGTCTCAACCATGCAACTCCCAGAACAACCGTTCAATTCCAAGAAGCAATGCTGAGCACTAGATTCCTTATACAGATTCTTCGATGGTGCTGGTGATACCCACAACTACTTTGATCGTTGACGTGACCCAGAGATTGAACAGAACAGCCTGGGCACTGATTTACGGTAGACCTCTGCAACACAAAAGCGATCATACACTAGTTGAGGTCTCGCATTGTTGAAGTAAAATCTTCGCCATTTGCTGTCAGTCCAAATGGCTGCAGAATCAGCCTGATATCTCCACAAAATCAGAAAAGCCCGTTTGACTTATCTCCCCCACCAGCTCCTTTTTCTGTTCATAGCTTCGTACAGCCAAAAAGCAATCAAAACAAACCTATTGTGGCAAACGAAGCAAATCTCACTGTGCCTTCAGGTCAGCTTCAGCTTTGGTCATGCTGCTCTGCAGCTCCTGCGAAAATGAGCACCATGGGCCATGGGTCAAACCCGACTTCTGCTGCCCCTGTTGTGAGGTATGGGTCAACTATGGTCAACTGTCAATATGCTTTTTGTGCATGAATGGCAACCCAAAAAGCTCGGAAAAGGTCATCCGTCTGCCCCCACATCCTTTCTCAACCAAAAGCTCAGAGAAAGACTGTTAGTCTTGTCTCAAGATTCAGCAAGATTCGATCACCCCACCCTGTCCCTTCATTCCAGCTCAAAACCGGCAACCATTCACTACCGATTGGGTCGTTCCGGTGGTCAGCGCCCTTCGCTTCGTCTTGACACCGCCCTTCGCTTCGCTTCACCCGTGGCGGTCGCGCCGTGGCGGTCGCCGTGGAAACGGCCGCTCGTCCTGCAAAGTCGAGGTGGAGACCTCGATGTCGGAGCTGGACTTCTCAATGGCCGCCGTCAATTCCTTCACGGCTCAAGGGGCATTTTGTCTGGTCGACCAGAAGCCCCTCCCCGCATGCCGGAAGAATAAATCAAATTAAATAGAAGAAGTCAATGAACCAGGTGGCGTCTGAAATGGATTGGTATGTGACTGACTTCCTTCTCATACGTGTCCATTGTCTCTAGGTGAAGGATAGTCTTCAATCTAGGATGAAACGAAGAAATCCGGTGCTTTCAGGCATCATCAAGGACATGCGGCAGCAAATAGATCCAAATTTGGATATGCCAGCTCATCTACCAATACCTCAAACCAATTCATCCAAATCATTCCGAGAAAAGTCTTGGTAGAGAGCCATCATCATTGCGGTCTCCTCAACTGTCTTTTCACCATCCTTGATGTCGTAGCCGAGGTCCCTCTTGCCACGAGTGCAGAAGCGGGTGTAGTTGACATAAGCCTGGCACAAACTCCGAGCCCCTCGCCCCTCACGCTCGATTCTCGTATCACTGGATGAGGTCACTGGTCTCGGCCAAGATATCATTGATTCACGTGCCTCCTCTGCAGCCTTTCCATCCTCTACAACCTTCGTCTCAAGGTCAGACAACCTGATAACAATCGTGGAAACACTTGGCAGTTTTGGGAATCGTCCTCAAACTTTATCAACCACGACAGTCGCGTCAAGCCTCGAACAACCGAGTTGTATCAAACAACTTTTGGAATGCAGATGTTGCCAACGAAGAGCGACAGAGACATCCGAACTGCCGAGCTCGACAAATGCTAGTCAGCAGCAGAACCCCGTTTGGCTGCAAATCTCGTGCTGAGCTCTTGGCATCGTGAAGACCTTCTGCATTGGGCTGACCTAGGTAGTTCTTTCGAAGCCTACAAAAGCAGAGCACATAAAACTGACACCAATGATCCTTGTTCTTTCCGGCAGCTAGCAGGCCGCAGCCCGAAAAACTCGAAACAGTCAAGCATCAAAGACATGAAGTTTAAACATAGCGCAGGAACGTTTTTGCTGGACCTCAGACTGTGACTTGGTGGGGCTTGACTTTCAGTCAACATTCTTTCTGCCCTAAAAACATCTGGCCATTCACTTGGCAAGTGGCTTAAAAGTACATCCAAAAGGAATAAAAACTTTGGGAGGAAGGCAGCGCTTCGCCGCTGCGCCGAGGCCTGGGCAGCCTCTGCCAGAACAAAGGAAAGGAAGATGCAGCGCTTCCTCAGCAACGGATGCGGCAGCTTCAGGTCTACGACAGGCTTGAACTCTACAGGTTTACGACAGGAAAGTCGCATGGGAGGGTTTATGACAGGTGGGTGAACTCCCATGCGGAAAAAGCCAATCTCATTTTTTACTTTGCCCAGGTGGCTTTTCCACATGAGAGCTCCAGGGTCTATGTGTGGACCCATCATGGGACTGGGTCGTCTATGGGACTTGGTCTTCAGTCTCTCAGTCTGGGAGGTCTCCCTCTTCTGACTCTTGGTGTTGAGGTCAGTCTCACGGCGACGTCGACTCATCAGGGAGACGTCGTCTTGCGAGTCAGGTCTGTCGTCTCGAGAGTGGATGGTGTGTTCAGACCGTTAGTTTAGGCATGGTTCAGCTTTAGGAAGAACCTGGAAAAAATAAAACACGAGATCCTAGAATGTCACGTGTCTAGGAGTCTAGCCTTTCTGTCAAGAACGTTGCTACCTCTCCCCTTTCCATTGAAATGCGGTCATTGCCCAGGCAGTATGCAGTGTTATCAGGCTCTTCAATCGGTGCGAGACCAATCTGGGTTGCTGGCATTGTAACAGGTTCCGACCCACAGAAAGCCGTTCGTTTCGCGGGCCGTTCGGAACCAAAGGGCTGCGTGAAACACCAAAACACTTCTTGTTGAACTGGCTGGCTTGTCAAGAAGCTTTGCAGCCTTAATGTCAGACTCTGATAGTCTCCCACAAGATGAAAGAACACAATGGAGACAGGATCTTGCCAATCTTTTGTTCACTGAACTTGTTCTCTTCACTCTTTTTGGGCGTCTCCGCCTCAGTGCTCCGATTCTCAGGGTGAGATGCACGAAAGGTACACATGTCCACACAAGCAACTAGCAAAAATACTTGCTGTTGCAAGCCCCAGTCCTACAACGGCCACAGGTTTGCAGCCTGCAGGTCTGAGTTTGACATCAGACAGCAGCTGCTGACATCAATTAAGGGTGACCTCAGGCAGCTGGTTTCTTTGAAAGGAGAAGTTTCATCTCCTTCTTGTTGGTCTCCATCGTCCCTGCTGGCAAAGCAGCATTCAGCAGCGATGGTGGCAAGCCTCCTTTGAGATCCTGAAAGATAAACTCCGTCATTTCCATCACTCCCTCCTCAGTGTCACTCATCTTGAACAAGGAGCTGTTGTAGTAGTATGCGCGGATGATCCCCGGCTTTTCGGGGCAAGCGCTGTGCTCCGTCGTACGGATGCACACGAAAATACTCCCATCCTCACGGCGGTCGATGGTGTACTTCCAGCAATGGTCTCTCGCCGTCATGCAGGGTGCCTGGGAGGGATGAGGGATGGTGGCTGCCTTGACGGACGATGTGGGACCAGAACAGAAGGCACAAGACCCAAGAAGGCACGTGACCGAATCAACCTGCCTGTATGTATGCCTTTGTTACCTTCAATTGCACATGCACAGAAAGGTCAGCAAGAAACACCAGTTCGGTAGCTTCCGAAAATTGTGACAACCATGTTCAAAGCTTTTCAAAGCGCTGTTCAAAGCGCGAATCAATGCAGTTCCGTTGGAATCAGCCAAAAAGGCATCAGCCGTTGGCATCGACCCCCACGACGGCCACGACCACCCACCCCCAACGGCATTCGACAGTACGTCCGCCTTCACGCGGCAGTACTTGATGTATCCCTCTGGCAAGGTCTCCACATCGATCCACTCCTTTAGACCCGGAAGGTTCTCCGGGTTGAGGAGAAAGCCCAAGAAATCCTCAGGGCTCACACCCTGGTATTTTCCATCCGCTCGTAAGAGCTTGTTGGGGTTCCCTGATTCGTGGTTTCGCAGGCAAATGCGCATCTTGAAGTGCTGCTTGTAGTCTTTGGCCCAATCTTGCTTGATCTGCCACCCATGTGCACCGCCAGGACCCACATCTTCGCTCAAAAGCTTTTGGAACTGCTCATATTCGCTCTGATCTGGTTCTGGCACCGGCAGCACTCGATCCTTGCCAGAGGCACAACAGCAACAGCAACCCATGACAGGTACAGGTAGGTAGTTGGCTATGTGATGCAAAATGCACTGCAATTGCACAAAGTACAAGTGATGTAGCACGATTGCTGAACTTACGGTCGTTGCAGCTTGTGGCTCAATCAAATAAAAGAAAGATCGCTCGTGGTTACATATGGTAACAACCAACATGAGTGCGCAGCCCCTGCTTGAAGTGTCACATGACCCTGACCAGCTTCAAACACCTGTGGGCCACCATGCTCACCAGCAGCACGAGAGCGGGTAGAAAGTCGCGCTACGCACTTGCTGCTCGGTGAAGAAACTACCTTCTCTCAAGCAACGCAAAATCCATTTTGATGGCAGCTGGCCTGTTTCAAGGGCTATAGCCCTTCATAGGGTCTTGAAGGAAGGTTCGTTACCTCCTTCATGTATGAATTAGCACAAATTCGAATGATGCGCCACCCTAGCAGCACACCAACCTCCGGGAACTTACTACAACATCCCTGAAGGATTTTGTTGGATCTTTAAGAAACCATTCTGGTCAAAAATCCTTCGACTCCTCCCTTGCAGTTCACACCCAGCCAGAGTCTCTGCCATGGATCAAGTATATAGTTGTGTGTGATGGCCTGTGATGGGTGTTGCTCTGCCTTGTTGAGAATGGTTCACCCATCTGTTTCTGAGTTCACCAGGAGCCTCTCGAAAGCTCCATGGACCCCCGTCATTTCTGGCTCCAGCGGGCTGTGTGAAATGCATGCCCTCTCATCGATCCTCAGACAGAGTTGCCATCATGTCCTGCGAGTTGAAGGACAAGGGATTCCTCCCCTTGGTGAAACAAAGCCGGATCTGCCTGTCTCGAACAAGCTGGATCCCTAAAGAAAAGAGAATCAATGTGACGTTGCGCTGATGTTCCTAAGAGTTGCACCTGATGTTCTGACAAGGCTTGTAGGTCCCACAGAGCTCTGTGATGTTCTGAGGCGCCCTCAGAGCGAACGGCGAGCTGCAACATCGATAGGTGGGGTCAACACCCGCGACATCGAGGAATCCGAGCTGCTGACCGACTCCTATGTCGGCAATATCGGATGAGAATCATTCCAGGGATTTCTTGGGGTCATCTTCAAATTCTGAATGTGCAAACAAACTTCCGAGACTTGTTGGGAGGACTGCAAAGTCCGGAGTGTCCTTTCTGAAAGGAGTTGGAGAGGTTGATTCCCACGACCGTCGAAAAAGACAAAAGGACAAAAAAAAATCAGCTTTGTTTTTGTGCAAATGAAGTGCGGGAAGTAGCTCAAACACCTGATCCCCACTTGCTCGTTTGCATTCGGATGATCTCGCTGCATCTCGGACGATCAAGCGGCCGTGGGGCCGATCCTCGCTCGTAAGATGTTGGAAAGACCATGCGACTCCAGTGAAGAAAGAAAACACAATCGAAGGCGGCACGGGAAGGCGGGGTGAACGACCACAGCCACGATCGTTGTTTTGCCTTGGGAACGAGTGTCATCATTGTTTCCTGGCTGTGTTCTTGAACGATCTTCGAGGCTTTGAAGAGATGACAGAGGATTCATTGGAAGTCGTTGGCTGGGTGGGCAAACGTTGGCGAGGGACAGTTTGGCAGCAGTCTGCCAAAGAGCAGAAGGGGACTCTTGCAAGACACTCACCCTTGCAGGACTCTTCTGGGACCAGCTCGAAGGACACTCTTGTGGAACTTGTCGGGCGCTTTAGCAGGACACTTTTGTGGACCATCTGCAACACTCTTGTGGACTCTTGCGGGACACTCTTGTAGAACACATGGGACACTTTTGGAAGAGCTACAAAAGTCTGGGGTGGACTGTGAATGATAGTGTGCTTCTTGGACCAGATTAAGCCGTTTTTGCAACGACAAGCCTCCATCATGACGCGATGCGTCAGCAAACAGTGAAAGTTGTCTCTTCTTTGAGGGGAAGCTTCAAACATCCAGTACGTGCAAAATTATTGGGCGACGAAACTTTGGAGGTGCGTCACAGCACTTAGATCTTTCGCCTTGCTCAGAAAGAGTTTGGCCACACAGGCCAGCTTCCCAGATCTTCAGGGACCTTTGAAAATGCGTCTTGAAAGTGGTTTCCACTCGCCAACCTGGGTTCCTAAATCCTGAAAAGTCCGGAAAGCCCCATAAGGAGCCCTGAGGTCCTCAAAAAGGAAGAAGAGGCCAAAAGCTCAAGTCAAATCGAACGGACATGTGCGTGACTGCGGAATGCGACTGGCCCTTTGCGACCACATCTCGGCAAATGTCAAAGTCAACCAGGTCCACAGAGCTGATCAGGCCCTACTTCCGCGACACTCGTTGGATGCAGTGCTCTGCACTCTCTGCTTAAAATCAAGAAGCAGCAACAAAAACATTTCCAACAATGGCTGAAAAAGACAGAATTCCACAGATGCCAGCCCCTTGTTTTCGGCTTGTTTCAGGGCACATTGAGACCGCATCAAAGTCGCAGGAGCCATCTGTGTGGGTGGTCTCTTGCGTTGCGGTGAAATGTGTCTGCTCATGTCGTGTGGACAACATTTTTGTTGCCCCTGAATCAAGGGATGTTGAAACTGTTTTGTCCCTCAATGGGTCAAAAGCTGTTGTGAAAAGAGGTGCAGGGTCCCGAAGCGTTTGCGCAGACTGGACAAGACATTCGAGCTTGGGTTGCATTGCTCGCTGCTCAGCAGAGTAAGCCGACGCCGCAGAGAAAACGTTAAAAGCAGTTCTGCGTTTCTTGTGTCTCTCGCATGGGTCCAGGGGGCCGATGGTGGAGGTGTGTCCCAAAAGAGAAGCAGTTGACTTCTAGGCTTTGTTGTGGGATTTGTGGTGTCGCTTTGGTTTCAGTTTCGAGTTGTTTCATGGACGCCCTTACCAAGGAAAGCTATGCCAATATGGTGCCTACACCAAGCCAAAGCAGGGCTTCAAGGGCGATGCCAGATGGAAGGTCAGTGTGTGTTTGGGAGTGAGATGCAGGATGCTTGGGTGATTGGTGACGGATCCCGGGTGTTCCTGAGCAGGTCGATACGCAGAGTGGAGGTCTCTTGGTCGAGATATCTCCAATGCTTCCGAGGGTTGGGAGTTCCAGACCAATTTTGGTGGAAGGATTGTGCCCTCAAAGAGGCTTGTGACCTTGGAAGGACCAAAGGTCAGTCTGACCTTGCCAGGAACTCAAGATGAATTGGCTGGTGATGATGAAGCTCGGGAGATCTATGAGAACAAGCTGGGAAAGGTCAAAGTCCAGAAGCTGCCATGTGGACAAGAAATCCTGGAGGCTGACGGAACGACACTCCTTGGCACTGAACTGGCTGGGCTGTATCGTTCATTGGTGGGATGTGGCATATATTTGTCACCGGAGCGCCTGGACGTGGCTTACACAGTGAAGGAGCTGGCATCGACTATGTCATGTCCCACCTCCGCAAGTTTGAAGAAGCTTGGAAAACTCATCGGCTACCTGAAGCATACGATTGGGCAGTATAACATGCGGGAGCTGAATGAATCGGGACAAGGATTGGTAGTCCAAGAGCACGAGACCAGGTGGCTCTTGGAGACCTTTTCAGACAGTGATTGGTCTGGAGCAAAAGGACACAGACGATCGACGTCAGCAGCCATACATATGGTCAATGGAGTTGTGGTGGCAGCCTCATCTAGGAGTCAGAAGTCAGTGAGCCTGAGTTCAGCAGAAGCTGAGTTGAATTTGTTGGTGAGCAGTGCAGCTGATGGCATTTATCTCAGGAGATGCTTGGAATTCCTGACGGTCGGGGAGGTGAAGCACTGTTGCTTGGTTGATAATGCCGCTGCTCTGCATCTATGCCACCGGAAAGGACCAGGACGACTCAGACATGTCTCGGGCAAGCTTCTATGGATCCAAGATGCAGTACTACAAGAAGTTCTGTCAGTGAAGCCCGTAGGCACCGTGAAGAACGTGGCAGACTTGGGCGCGAAGCCGTTGAGCAAGGCCAGAGTCAGCTTGATTCTGAATTGGTGCAACGTATATGGAGCTGGTCATGAACGTGTCGGCCAAGAAGAGCGTGTGAGAAGTGAGATGGAGTTGGTGAGCAAAGCCAAGGTGAACAAGTTGGCTAAGCTCTTGAACAGGATCTTACTGCTAGAGGGCCTTGAGCATGTGGCAGGAATGACATCGACAGAAAGCAGTGGTCAATGTTCAATCGAGAACACTATGAGCCTGGAGACCACTTCGACCGGGAAGCTATGGGTGATCTGGTCATTCATCGTGCTGATGATGATGATGGTGGTGGCTTTGGGATGTTTGGTCATTGCTACGCGACGAGAACTCCGTAGAGCGAAGAAGGAAGCGGCAATCCTCAAGGACGAGATGATCGAGATCCAAGAGAGCCAGAAGGTGGACGGCGTGGTGATCAGTTCTGTGGAAAATGAACTTCGTGATGAGACTAAGAACATCATGGTGTATATGCAGAAGATTCATCGAGGACTTGTGAAAGTGAATGGCTATGTGGACGAGACAGAGTTCAAGGACTGTGAGTGGCGACATTGGGATTATCTCCAGAAGAGCAACAAGACCCTGGACTATGCCAAATTGAAAGGAGAAGCCAGGGCCTACCTCATGAAAGAGCTTGATCGACACACAAGGATGGAGCAAACGGCACGTGGAGAAGGAGATCAAGATGTGCCTATGGAAGGCGAAGGAGTACTACAACCAGGAGGGACAGCCCAGGTATGGTTGGACTCAGGGGAAGTGGTCGACATCCCCTGAGCTACCTAGAACCACGTGAGCCTGAGAGCGAAGCAGAAGAAGACAGCATGGCCACCTCGTCAGAAGAAGGCCAAGCTGTCGGTGGTGTGGTGACCGATAATTCACTGGATTACCAAGCCAAAAAGGCCTGGATCCAAAATGCAAGTTTCAGAGAACTCGGCGAAATCTATACAGCAGAGGGCAGGTCAGGCTTACGAGCCAAGCAACATATCCAGAAGCTTGAAGAGCACTGGTGGGATGAGCAGGGAAGGCGATCAAACGAAAGCAACGAGCGCACGTATCAAAGCATGGAGATTCACTGTCCCTTCCTTGACTCATCCCGTCTACGATTTTAATGTGGAAT